ATTCACCCTCTCTCTTGGTGGACATGTACAGGGTGTCTCAGCTAAGGACGAACCCTTAAATACCTCAAAATTATTTCAAATTTTCTCCTACTTATAATTCACTATGAAATATTTACTGATACATTAATATTCTTCTTCTCTCAAAGAATACTTATAAAAATTTCGATGATCGACGAGGGTTGAGGGTAAGACGAAAACGTAATAAATATAATATAATTATAATTTTTTATAATTAGGCATTCCAATAGAATTCTTATTTAATTTGATGCAATTATCATACATCCCAAATTCCTTGTAATACTTAACTCGTTCACCCTGTATACTTCTCACCCTCCTCCATTCGCCGATTTTCCAGCCACCCATCCGGCGAGAGGAACCGTGTACCAAAAATCGCGGCACCGTGCGATAACCGTTCGTCCGTCGCAACGGCAAACATTTTACGCGTTGATGTTCTCCGTTCTTTCTTCCTTTTTTTACCATCCTTGTTTCGTTCTCCTTTTTGTTCCTCTTCCTCTTCCTCTTTTTTTTCTGCCGCTCCATTCTCATTCGACCATACAGCTTTTTGATCCTGCCATACCCTCACCCTGGTTACCCTATGTTTTCCATTTCGGAACGTTTTTACGAGCCATAAGTGTTTCGAACGCGGACGCCGAATGAATTTTACAGTTCGGTAATTTTTCTGATAATGCTCGACGATTAATTCCGCGTTCTCTCTGCCCCTGCTTTTCCGACATTCGGGATATCGTACTATCTAACGTTTCGACGATGAGGTCGCATTGTTATCTGCGCCCTTTAATTTCCCCGTTCAATTGAACTCACGAATGTAATTTTAATACAAATATTTATATTGTTTCAAAGAATATTTGATAATCTGACTGATGGATTCCTATAAAGATTCAAGTGCCACCCTCGTATGGGTGACACGGCAGTCAACGTGATAAATGTTAGTGAAAAAAGATCCGTTTTTTATTGAAACAATGATCGTTCGAAGTGGCGTTCTTGAAAAACTCGCGGAAAATCGTGAAACCATTAATGACACGCACTGACGTCTATTCGAACGTATTATCGGCTGGCAATTGTTCGGTAATACGTTGCGCATTTTATATTCTACATACGTCATACGCATCGACGAGCACGGAAATTTCAACCAGGCCAGCCTGCCGTAGGGGGTTGCGAGGGAGGTTTCGGTGGACGGAAAAGCGAATCAGCTTTCAAATAAAAACGTCGAATTCACACGCGCGGCCGCGTCGAATGCATCCTCTATAATTTAAAACGGCTACGCGAGCGTTGAAGCGTCAAATAAAAACAATCGCGTCACGGGGACATGATGTAACGAACGGGATCGGATTTTCGGCTAATTTTTAATCGCGTTGCTAGCTGCATTTCGCACGCGATCGTCTATCGATATAACCAGCTCGCGCTGCTCGATCGTCGAATTTATATCGTTGCAACGCGCGTGCATCGAGCTTTGTTTAAATATTTATGAAATTCTTTGTCGTACGTGCTGTTCATCCTCTTGTATTATCTTGTAAATTTTTTAATGGATATTTTCCATTGTTCCCGACCCACGGGATCGGCCATCGAACCTGTAAATTTTCAGAGAAGAAATAATGATACAGACTATATTTTTTGTTTTCAATTTTATTCATTGCTGATTTATAAATTAATGAAATATTTTATTTAAACTGCACACTTTGAATTAGTATTTTTAAGGGAAATGTTTTAATTTATTTCTTTTTTCACAAGAAACGACAGATACCGGAGTAATTTTCACCGTGAAACACTACGATGTTTGGCCCCGGGAAACGTGTTTTTCGGTGCGTTTGAAGTTATAAAGATTCGTATCGGCGGCGATAGTGATTATCCCGGATGGCGACATAATCGTTACGTCGTTAACTCTTAACGGCTCGCGTAAGCCCGTAGCATCGCGCGAGCGGGCACAAAAGCGAGCCGGTGTTTTGTTTTATTGCATCGCGCGGGAGTAGTCTCGTGCCAACACCCTAAAGAGTGTTCTCCTCTCTTTCATCGTCAATTACGCGCGACGTTTACGCGCCCTCTAATCAATTCCGCGTCCCCTTTTCGAATGGACGAAAAATAAAAAAATAAATCGAGAAGCTCTCGCTGTTCTCTCCAGATGTTTTCCATGAAAACTCGTCGATCGTTGAATCATTTATCTGCCTTCTCCGATAAGCAAGATAACGATTGCAATTTTACATTTCTAAATGTACAAAAAATTCAGTAGCAAATTCTCGTATTATCCAAAAGAATCGGTACAAGGATATCCGGAAAGCCGCGGTCGAATTTTTCATTAGCCAGTCCGAGGCTTATCAGGCAGCGACACGTTCGAGGCGAGCCTTACAAGATTACCAGGTCCAGCATGGAATCCAAACGTGAGCCGAGCTGTCGACTTCTCATTTGTTTTCTATCTCCAGCGGCGACGTAGCCGTTTCCACGTAGCCAGCTAGCATAGTGACTTTTCTCCGACGGTATAGGTCGACCAGCATAGAGGTATATGGGTAATCCCATGGGGTGCTCCGGAGGGAGTTTCATATAGAGGGCCGCCGCGGTGCGGCCTCATATATAAGGATTTATCACGGCTAAGTCTCCCGTATATTGCTACGTACCGATCCCAGGCCCCTTCGTCCACCCAGCTATCCTCCGCTCTCTTTCTCATCCAGGATCCATTCGAGCTTCTCCTTTCAGACAATCTAGCTGTTTGCTCTCCTGGCCTGCTCTTCAACCACGTTACACGTACATACTCGTCTTCTTTCATTATCTGGAACAAGATTCTTTATTTTTCAGAAATAACCTTAATTATTAAGGATAACTATACTTTTAGGTTTCTGTGGCTTGTTCCACTTTTTTTGCTTCATTTGTCAGAAATAACCTTAATTATTAAGGATAACTATACCCTTAAGTTTCGGTCACTGGCTCCATTTTTTTTGCTTCATTTGTCAGAAATAACCTTTTATTAAGGATAACTGTACACTTAGGTGTCTGTCATCTGCTTCACTTGTTTTCTTTCGTTAAAACTTCTTACATGTTGTTATTTGATTTTCCAACGAGAAAATAAAGCATCCAATTGAGAAAATAAAGTTGTTTGAAAACCGCGAAGAGGGTGCATTAAGGGATTGCCACAAGCGTGGGCCGATAAAACCCCTTACGGGTAACCATGACCTTTTCGCGGTATATCCCATGGATACCGCGTCTGTTCCTTTTTCCCTCTCAAGCTAGCAAACTATTTCCTCGCGCCGTTTATTCCGAATCAGATCCCGGATCCGCTCGTATGACGTTGCTTCCGTTCCCCCGGGGATTAGGACGTTTCGCCTCCTTTTCGCCTTATTCGCGCGTTCCCGCAAGAGGGTGGGTTCCGTCTCGGATCTTCCTCGGGGCGGAAAAATAGGGTAGGTTATCGTGAATTTTCCGCTGTTTTCCGCGCGTTTCGGAAGGATGTCGATTTTCTGAAAACCATTGTGAATATCATCCATGGAGAGAAAGCGATCGATGATGAATTTTTTCGATGACTATTTAATTCATCTCTCCCTCGTTTCATTTCCCAGCTTTCTTCCAAGGATTCAATATCATCCGAAGTAATTAAAACGAAATAATCCGCTGGAAATTCCGTCATCCGGTTTTAATCGCGTAGGCGTTCGCGTTCCAGCTTCGTTCCGACAGTTTCGGAATGTCTCGGCGAGAGGTTCGCGGGCGACGCGACGGAATCGCAAATTCCTCGTAGGTGCGGGAACCACGGCATTTTGGCGGGCATTGTCGCTCGTCGTTGCCGTCGTCTTCGTCGTCTTCCTCGTCGTCGCATTAACTCGCGCGGCCACGGCATCGTTAGCGGCATACCTTATCGTTTGGAACTGCACGGCCCAGGCGGTTCGGAATGCGCAAACACTAGTCCGTGTTACTTCCAGGGTGATTCCAGCGGACCCCTTCGTATATGTTAGAGGAGCAGGAATGGTTGTCGTTTAAGGCGAGTTTACAGGAGGAGATTGACTATGGGGGAACGCGTGAATCATCCGTCGTTTGGACAGTTTCATTCGGAAAGTGATTCTGGTTATATGCATAAGATAATGAGCGATTTAAAGATATGAGTGAGAATTTTCTGTGGATGTGATTTCAGGGCTGAAAAAGTTGAAATTGAAATACTTAAGGATTGTTATTTCAGGGTTGTAAAGGTTGAAATTGAAAAATTTAAGGGTTTAAGATTTAAGATGAGTAATTTTTAAATTATAATTTTTAATTACAACTTTAAAATGTCGAAATTTCGAAGCAACGTGGACTAAATTAATCGACAACAGGACGAGGAGAAACACGAAATGTCAGCAGATAGTCCGACAAGCGGTGCGGCGAATTTTATAATGCCTCTTGAGAGCATACCATCAGCGGGAAAGGAGAAAAAAAGAGGATGAAAATGAAGGAAAATATTAACGCGTTGAACGTGCTGAAGAGAATGAAGTTACGACCTTGGGTAAGGTCGAATTGCCCTGCAACGGACGAAACATTTCCGTCCGAGCGTGTAAAGCGGCCTTTAGGCAGAAGCTGGGTTCTATCGCAGTTCGCGAATTCCGTCCTGTCATTTGTAACTGTCGGGCTGCTCATTACAATTCCCCATTCCTCGTCTCTCCTCTCTCTGAACTAACCCCTCCCGCTCAACTCCAACCCCTCTACGTCTCGTTCCTGCTACGAGGGCAACGAAGGGTTCTGGAGTTTCTGCTTTCTCTCTTCGTCTCTTCCTCTCCGCTCTTCCGCTTCGCGTTTATGCGCAAACGCAACCTATTTTACCCCCGTTACTTCTTCGTTACAAGGAAGAACAAGAACGAGATAATGTCTATCATCAGGGAATAAGGAATTTTAGTTTGAAATTGTAGAAAAAGAAATAAAACAAGTGAAAAAGAAGGACTTCTAAACCGTCGATAGGGGTAAATTACGAATTCTCACAAGGATAATTAATTTCGCATAGTAATTACAAGATTTTTAAATAATTTCTGTTTTAGTAATCAACTTGGTTTGTCGATGAGCCTATTTGTAAAGGTGCGAGGGTGCAGAGTAAGAGGACGTTACCAGGTTCGATACGGCAGTGAACGTGACGAATAATGTTTGAAGGTAAGTTCGTCGCAATGGAGAATTTATTGCGGTCAAATATTGGCGTGAAATTCCGAAGGTTGCGGCCCATCGTTGACACCCCCGTAAATTATAAATATGCACGGGTAACCGATAAATCCCATACGCCATGCATCGAAACCAGTTCGACGACTGTTATAACACGTATCGATCCTCCTACCCTTCTAGTCGTTTACTCGATGAATCGGCCAGATCCTTTGAATTAAAGCACGGAACAGATACTCCTTTTAATCTGAAAAAATCCTTGAAATATCGTCGTGGATAAGTTGAAACGTCTCCATTCGTGAGTACAATACAAGCAGCTTTCACGATTCGTCCGACAAAAGTGTCTCACGCAAAATCGAGGCGACTGGTTTGCTTCCCCCTATCCACCCCTGCTCGCCCATTTTCTTTATTACATTCCTTATTTCCTATCCACCAGTCTCTGTAACTGTAATACAAATTCCTATTGTGATTTATGTTGATATCAATGGCAACCCCTCGGTGTCGTCCCGTCCGCTCGCTTCCTCCCTTCCACTCGCGCGAAACGACACCCTCCGCTCACCCTTCGTCCAGATATTATGCTTTATTGAATCAGACTTGTCACTGTTATTGTTGGCTCCGGCTTCTTCGACTCGTTCGTTTCACGGCTGCCACTGCGGATCCGGGGGTGAAACCAACCGACGACAGGGTCTCTCTATGAATTTTATTAATAAAACAACATTGCCGCCCAGCTTCGACAATGAAGCGACTGACAGCCTCTAGCCGCTCTTAACGCTTGTATCTCTGTTCAGAGCGGACGAGCGTGGAAAATTCGCGCGTTTCAAATCCCTCAACCCCTTGCGGAGAAAGGAAGCGGCATCCCGGCGTCGGATTCCGGTTTTCTAAAGCGGGACGCGCAAAGTCAACCCGCTACTTATCGTCGCGGAGGGTGGAGTAGCTTTGTGTCTCGGTTTCAAGAAGCGAACGCTTTGTCCACGAGACGGGGCACGGTTAACTCGACGCCGATAGCGCGAGAGCAACCGCGCCACTTGACTGTCTACCGTTCCGGGGGTGAATTGTTCCGCAGAAGGGTGGCGAATAATGTTTTTTGTTCGACGCTCGAACGGCTATGAGCTGGAAAATTGAGCGCTTGTTTGCGAATGTTTTGATGTCTTTTGACGTTTGCTGATCGAATTTCGTTTACATGTTTTCTCATATTATAACCTGAATTTTAATTGATATTTATAAATTAATATCTTCAAAGCCTGGTATTTTTATCTTTTGATTATTTGACCGAATGAAGCTCGTACTCTTTGAAAGTAAATCAACGATCATGCACGTGCCATTTGAAGCACGAAATTCAGTGGCTCCAGAAATAGAAGTCCGTGAACCATTTACCTGCCCAGTCATCAACCATCCGCACATTTCGCTTCTCTGAATGGATCTAAGAACCAATACTCCCATTAACGGTCGATTGAAGAGCCGTTCGTAGGCGAAAAACGTGAGAGTATAGAGGAGGAGCAGAGAGAGGCGGAAAGGGAACACACGCGTGCGTTTACACAACGTAGCTACAACAGTGACTTGCGTCAGTGGGCCGCTATAAACGTGATTAATGGTCGCAAGTCGTTTACCATTCTGATACTCTTGCTGCAGCCGGAACAACAAAGTGCTCCTTCACCCACTGTCGCTCTTTTCCCCTTTGTCGTCATCGTTCTCCTCGTCTATGAGTATCTCTTCTCGTCGAACACACGGTATTCTTTGTCAAATAGATACAAGAGGTGAAGTGTTCTTATCGCTAGGGTATAATGAGTCATTTGGAAATAAGAAAATTGTAATTTTGATAATGATTGAATTATCTATATTTCTTTAATAATACATTGACAGTGACAAAAGAAATAACTTATTGCTAGGGTTTAATGAATAATTTGGAAACAAAAAATTCTAATTTTGATGACGGTTGAATCATCTATATTTCTTTGATAATATATTGACAGTGACAGAACAAGTGACTTTCAACCCCATGCAGCCCGGTGGCAAGACGAACATCCATTTGGTAACGGATGACAAGTGGCACGGTATGCCCATGAAGCAGTATTCTCTCACGAAGGACAGCGCAAACATTCTCGATTTACACGTTAGCCATTCCATTTGGCTCGAATCGGTTGGAAGCCATTAATATTGGCCAGCGTGAAAGCAACTCGGGCTTCTGGCTCGCCAGTAAAGACAGCCAACCCTTTGCTCTCGATTCCGTGAAACCGTCTAAGGGGGTAAACGTTTCTCCGACCTCTTTCAATCCGTTCGTTTGCTTCTATCATCCATCCTGAACACCCTCGAAATCAATAAATACATATTTGTTCGACACACATCAATGACACTAATACCATTAATCCAGGGCTGACGCAGCAAGCGTATAGAGGCGGATCGTGTTCGTCGACGAAAGAAGCCGCAAAGGGTGTATTCGTGGAAGATAGAGGAGGCAGGAACAAGATAAAGTTACTAATCCTTAACATCACTACATCCTTATATCACTACATTCCCTATATTCCTGCATCTCGTATATTCCGGCATTCCTTTTACCTCGGCATCCCTTACCTTCTTGCATCCCTTACATCTCTGTACCCTTTATATCTCTGTATCCCTTACACTCCTGAATTCTCCCTGCATCTCTTGTATCCTTTCAACCTTTATAATAAATATATTATAAATAATATACTTATGGCCACTGGTTCGAGTAAAGGTAAGTAAAGGTAAGTAAAGTCTCGTGAATTTTAAATTTAAATTTTTGCAAACTTTAGTTCCTTTTTTTACCGGTAGAGGGCGCTGATTAGAAGTCGAAAATTTAGTTCGTAATTTTGCCGCCAGAGGGCCAAAAACTTAGCAAGGTTTAGTTCCTTTTTTCACATCCAGAGGGCGCTGATTAGAAGTCGAAAATTTAGTTCGTAATTTTGCCGCCAGAGGGCCGAAAACTTAGCATGGTTTAGTTCCTTTTTTCAAATCCAGAGGGCGCTGATTCGACGTCGAAAATTTAGTTCGCATTTTTGCCGCCAGAGAGCCAAAAACTTAGCAAGGTTTAGTTCCTTTTTTCAAATCCAGAGGGCGCTGATTCGACGTCGAAAATTTAGTTCGCATTTTTGCCGCCAGGGGGCCAAAATTTCTGCAAAATTTGTTCTGCCAGGTGCGGTGAAACAGAGATTGCTAAAACAGGCACGACTGTCATACCAACTGTGCTCTGTATGTGCAGACCTGAACTCACCTGGGGGTAGGTAGCTGGGACTCCCAAAATCATGACCCCTCAAGAACAAAGGCGTGTCCATTCTTTTTGTATCCGCAGTCACTGTCTGCTGATCTCCGTCGAGTCACGTTACAAATGACTGTGGCCGTCTTCCATCCTCGTTATCGAAGTGACATAATCATCTGTAACGCGTGCACCACCTACGCGCGTATCGCGAGCTAGGTGTGCGCGGTGCACAAACCGGAGGCGCCACGCGCCACAGGGTCAACGTCACACCAAATGACATACCGGCGTTTAATAATCCCCGTATCGTCGTCTCTGTCTATCAGAACCGATGACGGCAGCTGAGGGTTCATTAACTGGGAGATACTGGCCTGTCGTGGACCGAAAGATACGCGACTACTCGCTACCAGATGGATACGTAATACCCTCTGGTTATTGTTCATTGTTTCAGCTGAACGAATCGATGATGAGAATGAAAAAATTGAAGGATCGTGTCGATTTTTTGATGGGACTGACTGATTGGTTCTGGTGAGGGATTTGAAATTTGGGTCGAGCTGAAAATACATTTAGCATTAGGAGATGAAATAAATCATTTCATTGGGAAGGTAAAATATACTTCTTTTAGAAATTTATTATTTATAAAATAAATGAAGTTCTGAAAGCTGGATCAGCAGCTTTCTCTAAGACAATTTCAATCTTTTAATCTAGATAAACTACATTTCAGGATAATTCATTTTCAATTAAAGTACCACAATCTCCTTGTACATTAAACGATACCGAAGGAAAATATGGCTAGCAAGTAGCTACAGTGATATAGAGAAAAGAATAATAAAAATCTATAATTGAAATGGCAATAGCTTGAACAGGTTGACAGAAACTGGTTCCTCGATTAACTACAGTTTATAAAGGTATAAACATAAACTGCATGCACGGATGAATAGGAATTGCAGATGTCTTTGAATCGAAGGTCCATTTAATAACGCCGCGTAATTGCCAGTTTCAATTGCAATTAAAAAACAGCAAGGAATAAAGTAAGTAGCCGGCTCGCGACTGCATACGCAACAGCGTCGATTTCGTTTTGCCATCGGTAATCCCGAAGGGGAATAGGAGAACCCCTGTAGGCTTTGATCATAATTTATGGTTATATAAGAATGCGAAAGGGAGTCCCGCCACTGTTTACCGTCCTATACAGGATTACACGTGATACCCGTCCATTAATTTCGGCGACCATCACCTGTCCCTTTTCCTTCTCCTTCGTTTCTATCTCCTCGTTTCTGATCGTTCTCGATTTTCTACGAATCACCAAATCGCTCAACTAATTTTATTATTATTTTAATTCGTTCGATTTTAACATTAATTCAGTCTTAAAAATTAATTTTCTTCAATTTTATTGTCATTAATCTTTACGCATGACACATGTCCACCGAGTTATATGAAACTTCTTGCTGTCAAAACATAGTCCATATCCCACAATACTTACCCCAATTGCAACATCAATTAAAGGAAAGAAACATAAATCATCGGTATATCCGTGACACATGTTCACCAAGTTATCCCCAACGATCCCAGAATCGAGAGAGCAGTCTTTTTGTCTGGTTTCAAATGCTAATTCGAAATCCAGCAATAAAAACACCGGCCCTGTTGATCCCGTAGCTCTAAAGTAGAGGAAAATATATTACTCGGTGTGCTCGAGAAACACCTGCTGCTCCCGATCGGGAAAGAGTTCGAGTAAATTACTCCGGGTACGGCAGTTTTCGCGAAGGACGGGGTTCACCCGGTAAACCCGTGGTGGAAAGGGTGTCCCACAATGTGCCACGGTTGCTTTTCTGTGTTCGTGTGCACAGGGCCACGCCATCTGCGCCAATCGCGGTTACTACGTTACGTTAAAGCCCCTCAGCCAGTTTCCAGTTGGCAGTTCCAGCATGGTCGTTTCCAAAGGGTTTCCGAGTTGTAGATTCAGTCGGTCGGTCGGCCGCCAGCCCGCCATTACTCATTCCGGGGACGCGAATGCACGCCACCCTAGACCGAGCAAACAATTTGTTTCGGCTGAGAGTATCTCGTGGCACGGTCGCGCGACTCTCACGAAAGTGACGACGAAATCGCGGAATGAATCGCCCTGGAATTTGCCTTCGTCGCTTGTCGTCACGGAATTTCGGATCTACCCTATGGATAAGAGACGCGACGTATACGAATGCTTGGATTCTTCCCCCGTTATCTTCACCGCTCGTTTCTTTCACAATGATTTGTTTCATTACCTCCTAGTACCTTTATGATAATTGTGAATAAAATTACGGAAAATTTCAATGACACAGATTTATTTTCTTAGGTACTTGATGTTTGTATCAAATGGTAATAATAAAATTTGATTAGAAAAACATCCCTTAAGACCCTTCAATCGTATTACCTATTTTTAAAAGAGTATCTCTCCAACCTACGACAACCATAAATAATTCTTCTTGAAGTCAAAATCGAAAGTGTAACGTCAGAAACATCATACAGTGAAACTCTTACAGCCATTTTATCTCGTTTCCGACTGGTAGCCAAGGTGATTCCGTTATCGTCTGCCACACTGTCGGCGGCATAAATTGATACAGATGCGAGTTAGCCAGAGTTTTTCGCCGTCATCCCGCGGGAAAAGCGGACGGTAAGCGGCTTCCAACTCTGCGAAGAAGGGGGAACCTTTTGGAAACGAAATATCCTCGCGAAACGTCTGGGTATCGTTGACCCCGATACAGAGTATCTCTCGTCGCGATGACGGTCTTTATCTCGGCGCGAGAACGATTTCAGGTCGAAAGGTAAACCGATAATGGCGAACCACCAGCAGCAGGTTATGAGCGAGCTGAGTAAAGTGGCTTGAAGAAAAGTGGCTTTTACAAATTACCATTAACCGGGGCTAATAGTGATTTAACGGCGGCGGAAGCTGACGTGTTTATTGGGGAAAGGGAATTTTAATCGAGAGTAGCTCTTCGCGTTACTTTCAGTTTACTTAGTAATACTTGTTATTTTAGAATTTTAAATAGCCCCGAGATAGAAGAAACTTTCGATGAAAACTGTTCAACTTTCTTCTTTGCTTTGAGAACAATTTTTGTTACCTCTATTTACTGCTATCCCTTTTCTTTCTCTGGAATCTTAGCTAGTTCGAAAGTAGCTGTTTTCTTATGATTCTTCGAAGTTTTTTTAAAGAAACTGTCGAGATTGGGTGTAAATCTTGGATCTTTTCGAAAGTGCAACCTCGCTTCTTGAGCTACATAATATAATCAAGTTTTAACGATACTTCGCAAGTTTCAAGCAGAATCAGATGAAACAATTGGAATGAAAATCTTTGTTCTTAAGCTCTCGCTTGTTATCCATCCACTCTTGAACTGAACGTCACTCGGTTATCCCGTGTAAACAGACAACAAACAGTCGGGGAAGGCTGGATTAGCCGGTAACATCGTGCGGTCGATGTTCAATGCGGTAATTAACGGTACGATGTCAGACGGGGCCTTTAATCTCTCGGGTAACCATTCCCTTGGCCGCGAAGTTCCTTGAAAATTAGCATAATAATATATCGTCGTCTATCTCGGCCAATTAAACGGCCATAAAGCCGGTCGAGCTTTGGCGACGCTCTGGACTGTCACGACGTCGTGCTAGCAGCTGAAGCTATTAATGAATGGTGGTTCCTCGTCGAGGGTGACGGGGTACCATAAACTTGTCCTTGCGCGACTCGACGGACCTTTGATTTCTCTTTTCCTTTGGATACCATTCAACCAATATATACACCAATTTCAATGGAACTAAAAATTTGATCATTTTTAGAAACTTCGCAATTAATTATAAAAATTTCTATAATTTTCCTTTCTTCTTTTTTCTTCTTTAAAGATACGTAACTTCTTGGTATCGGTTTGGTAAAAGACTATCGTCTGTAATGGAACGAGATGACAAATTGATGGTCCTTCTTTCTCGTATCCATCAAAGTAGCGATAACCATCGCGCTACCGTTGCTATCGTACTCACGGGACACTGCGGTTTTCTCGCTCGTCGCTGCGGAAACAGTGGAACATTTAGACCGTGACATCGTTAAACGATCGTTAACCGAAGCTTCTCGGCTCGAACGCGGGACAGATAAAACGATTTGTCAAGATCCGTGACGCGGATCCTGAGAGAATTGTAGCGAAACGTGTCCAGGAGTGTACTATCAAAGATAGTAATAACTCAATAAAGTTGAAAGTCGAATAAAATTACAAATTGAAAGAAAAAGAAAATAAGAGAAAAAACCTCGATCTTCCCGTCGATTTTCAACGACATCCGTTCACCATCTTCGCGAGCCACCATGGAGGGTGAAAGTTCATCGGCGCTTAATGCAGCGCGATTAATTGCCGGTCGCTAAGTTGGCCGGAGGTTGTAAGGCCATTTACGGCCGTGGCTCGGTACCGTGTTAGC